CCAGCTCTATGCCCAGCACAGGCTCCCTCCCCAGGGGAGGCCATCTTTAGGTTTAACTGCATCCTCCCTTGTTTCCTGCTTCTGTATGTGGGGTTGGCTCAGAACTGGGCTCTAGCCCAGACCATGTTTTGGTAGGGGAGGTGCAGTCTGGAAACAGTCTCAGTGTTCCTCCTTCCTTCAGGCCTTTGTCCAAGCTGTTCCCTCTGCCTGTGAGGCCACCTTTCACCTCCTCCTGCAGAACAACCGTCCCAAACACCAGCCCTTCAGGAAACCTTCCCACAGGAAAGGGTGACTGGGCCTCCTCCCCAGCCCCCATCCAACTGTGAATTCTCAAGAGATGACCAGGGACAGATGCTCCAGCTGAGCCCGACAGAACAACCAGGGACAGATGCTCCAGCTGAGCTTGCTGGACTGCCACTGGTGTCACAGCTGTGAATGTGTTTGAGCTGCCTCTGCTCCTTGCCCCTTTTATTCCCCACAGTGGGTGGTCTCTTGACCTCCAGTTTGGGAACTGAAAACCCTGCTCTGCTATGGCATAGGACCAACCAACAGCTGATAGTTCAGGGACACTGCCTCCCCCCCCAGCTCTAACTTGTTCCTAGCCTCAAGGTCATTTCCCTGTTTCCCAGGGGGAGGCCTTCTTTATGTCTAACTCCATTCCCCCTGCAGCAGCCAGAGCCCATGATGTGGCCAGCCTGGGCCTGTGGTATCTTAGGGACAATGATGTGTGATCCCAGCATGGGGGACACCAGCCCATCTTCTTCTCTGTGGCCAGGGTGGCCAAGCCAGCAGCATTTCCTGCCCTGGCTCTGACGTCTTAGGCGCCATTCTCCACAGCAGGAACCCAGCAATACCTCCTACCACATCCTCCTCTCTGGCACGTTCTAACCCGAGACCCCTCTCTGCCTCAGCAGATACTCATGGAAGTTTTCCTGAGTCCAGCTCGGTTCTCCCCCAGCCGCACCCCTCAGTGGAAGCTCCAAGGGACTGTAAACTGCCCTCATCCACCCTGGCCTTTTGGCTATGTTTTCAGTGGGAAGAGGTTGTTAAAGTCTGTTGGGCCTGGAGCTAAGGACACCCCACTGGGGTATGGGTGGGCAGGAACTGGGAGGAGATGGTCACCAATAACTAAGAATGGAACCTGTCCTTTATGATCTTGTGGAACGCTCTAGATGGTTTGGAAAACTATGTTGCAATTTATACTAAAGCTGAGCCAATATACGACCAAATAACCCAGCAATTCCACTCCTGGGCATGTGCCCAATAAAAAGAAAATGTACTGCAGTACTGCTCATAATAACAGAGGGAAGTGACCCAAACCCCACTGCCAGCACTGCTCACACAGAGCAAATCTCTACAGCAGAGAGACCTTCTGTTGACTGACGTCTGACCCTGACATACTGTAGGACTGCTTCAGATGATGCTCAAAAACTGCAAAAGGAATCTGTAGAGGTGGAGGTCAGGCCAGAGCTGCCTGTAGCAGGTGTTGCACCTGAAAGAGTACACACCGGCTACGGGGACGTATACACAAGGCTGGTGACGTCTGTTTCTGGATCCTGATACTGCTTCTAACAAGTGATTCACTTTGTGGAAATTCATTGAACTGCACACTTATAAGATGTGCCTTTCCTGTGTGGCTAATGTCAATACGGTTTAACAAAACAAAAGGAAACACAACAAAAGCCAACCTTTAATTCATTTCCCCTGCAGCCCCAAACTGCTTAACGACCAATTCACCACCCCTTTTGATTCCCCCAGCCCTTCATAAGTAAGACCAGGCTTACTTAAATAAGACTCTCATCTTATTTCTCATCATCCTCAGCTTAATCCACAACAAATTTTCTCAATTCTTTGAGCTTGCTCAGACTAGCTCCCAGGCCTTTACTCAAGCTGATCTCTCTGTTGGGACTTCCTTTCCAGTTCACATGACTAATTCCTCCTCAGCCCTCAGTCGCTGCACATCCTCTGTCTGAGGAACACACCTGCTCTCGAGGCCCTGGACACCAGCACTCACTTCATCAATGGACTCTTCTGCTTCCCTCATAAGACTGGTAGCTTCCTGAGAGCACAGACCCTGCTTGGTCATTCCTGTACTCCCCAAACCTTGTCTGGCACTGAGTTTGTTGCTGGTGGCCTCATGTCGGTTCTGACTCATAATGACCCTATGCACAACAGAAACACTGCTCCTTGTCTCCTTTCAGCATCCCTAGACCAAGCATTCCTTGGATATCTCCACATGTCTGAGCTCAATGTTCCTCTGGACCTAGGAGCTTCACAGTACCGGGACCACAGGTCTAAAGGGCACTCTCCACTCCTGGATCTTCTTTCTTGGTAGTATATGGTCCCGCTTTCTCTGCTCACTGCTCTCTCTTTTAATATCTCAAAAGACACTGGCTTGAAAGAACAAACAAGATGGTGGATCAGGTAGCTGTATAGTGAGGAGCTCTGTCAGCAACAACACAGAATACTGGACCAAGCAGGCTTAGGGGATGGTGCAGGACTCTGAACCACATATAAAAGAATATTTAGAAAGTTGGAAGGCTTATAGCTAGGGGAATTTGTAGCAAAAGAAGAAATCCATTGCTTTCTAATCCAAGACACT